CAGTGATATTGAAGGCACACAAAGTCCTCCCGCTGGAAAGGGCCTGGTTACCACCTGCCATCGTGGGAGTGGTGCCTTTGGTATGTCTGATGACCTGTCTAGATCCATCAGTGGGGTCCGGTGGTTCCCGTTTTGTTATGTTTTTATGCGTGGCTGACTACCTGTTCCCATTCTAGCACCTAGAATCCGGGGCTCCAATAGATGGGCCACTGGGCAACAGCAAAGATTCCCTGAAATTTGCAGCAATCCAATAAAAACGACACAGAGCTGTGGGCTACTGGAAATGCCTCTTCACCCTAAAGGAAGAAAAGGCTGAAATGAACTTCATGACCTTGATTGTTGCTCTCTAGCTGTGGTTGCTTAGGTGAGAAAGCAAGTCTGCAACCTTTTTCTCCCTCACCTGATCGTAACTTTCGTACTGTTGCTTCCTGGACTACATCAGCATAGAATCATTTCAAAGCACATTGGAATGGCCTAGAGGGGGATAGACAAGCTTCTCAAACAAAAAGAACAGAAGAAAGAAGAATGCATCTGCTTTCTTCACCTCGATTAATAGTGTCCACTGGTCTCGGAGAACAGTTTCTCCTGTGCTATCTGTATAGAAAATGTTACACAAGTAGCTCTTTGCGCTGCCTGTTCTGGCCCTAGTTAATAGATAGCCGAGACTGGCCAAGCAAGGCTTTGTGTACAGCGTTTCTCTTGCCCCGTGGAACGGAGTGCTATCTCCTTGGTTGAGCTAATATGGGCAACTCCTTGGATTACTGACTTGATTTGGTTTTCTCACCCATCTTTTAAAACAATGTAGTGGTGAACTTTATCCTTTACTTCCCAGTTGACTCTTGATAATTGTTCCGGTCAGTCTTTGTGGGGCTGGATACAAGCTTATGGTCTGAGGCTACAGGGAGTTAGTTTGCTTTCTGCTTGCAATAATTGGCTGGTTTCCCAAATCCAGAGACCAATATTGCCACCTCTGATGCAGACACCAATGAAGACTGGTGTCTTGACCATGAAGGAAGAATCCCTACAGGATAGAATGAAATTAATTCCAAACCCTTATTATATGTTGGATTCTCCCTTGAGCAAAACTTAGCAATTTGTTGGAAACGTTGATCTTTTCATTGATAGATGGAGAGCATTTGTTCCCTCCCACTTCAAAATCCCGAGAGCCTTGTCAATA